TGATGAGAAAATGAAGATTAAGAGAGATTAAGTGACTTTCTTTAATTCGCAGATATAAACTAAGGCTCAGACATAAATTCACAGCTGTTACCTCAATTTTAGTGTTCTTTTGGCTATGCCTCCTTACCTTTTATTGTGCTAAGCTAACTTTCTAGGAAAGCTTTTTTTAATCTGGCAAAAGAAATAAGACATTGATACCACTTCTGCAACTATGATTGAGTACATAAAAACTTTATGTAGAAAACCTATCAACAGAATTATTTGAGAATGTCTGGAGCTGTCTCTACTTCTTGCAGTACAATTTTTCCAGTTATTTTCCAGTCAAGTTTACCTACCTCTCCCCTCCCTGTTTTAAACATCAGCCCCAAAGCTGACCACGCAGCAGGCAGAATCATTTTGGAGAACCACCTGTTACTGTGTATCAAAAGCCTTAAAATTTTGCCTGCATTTTGTCTTGGTAATTCTAGCTCTATCGATTTTCCTTAAGGAAATGATTGGGCAATAAACATTGGAAAGGGTACCAAGATATATGTCCAAAATTCTCATGTTATAAAAATTATAATATGGGACAAACTGAGCATCTAGCAATAGAAAAGTATGGCATGTTCATATGATGCAAAATATGCAGCCGTTAAAAATGATGCCATAGACATAGATTTAATTGCCATGGAAATATTTCATGGTATTACTCTTGAGAAGAATGTGATTGTATTATATATACAGTTCCGTAACTTATTATTCTCATTCTTTTTAAAGTTTACATATTATTATATATTATGAATATACATAATTTACCTGCTCTCTTATTGGTATATATAACAGTTTTTTCCTTTCTATTTTCTTTTTAATACTGTAACTGTCCTTATGTCCTTTTAGGAATCCAGACAGCATCTTTACCTTAGATATTTTTCTTCTAAATCTCTCTTCTCCCAAGTTAGAGGAGTCGGGGCAACCTGTATGTTTTTTTCTTTCCATTTTCCAGGAACTTACCTTACATGGTGTGTTACAGTCTATCTACACTATTGATAATAATAACATCCTATTATTGATAATAATAACATCTAGGTCACTCAGATTTAGCTCTTAAAATGTAAAAGAGAGATTGTGAAATTTATGAACTGTTTTTCTCACTCAGCAAACCTTAGCTTTCAAGACAATTTCCTTACCATGGAATCAAAAATTATATTTTTGAAGTCAAACTCTAAATATTGCCTCTTTCTTTCTCTTTGCATTTCTGCTTTAAAATACAAATTTTCCTCAAATCAATGGAGTCCTCTAGATGAATAGACTACAGGGAAAAAAGTGAGAAAACAATAAAAGCATATTACATATATTTTTAAATTATCCTCATTAAGCATTAACATAGTTTAATTTTAAAAGGTAAAGGATCTTTATAATGAGTTTTCCCATACCAGAACATTTTATAACTTTTAAATAACTTAGGTCTTCTTATAGTTCCATAAATATGTTATTTTCTTCATAAACATCTTATATATTCATTATTACATTTATTACTAGGTGGTTTATAGTGGTGGTTACTATTTTAGCCGTGATCTTTTTTTTACTTTATTTTTAAATTATTGACAGTTTTCAGGAAAGCAATTGATTATGTGAGTCGATCTTGCATATAAGCTACCTCGTTGAAACCTTTTATATTTTTAAATCTTTTTCTTGGCAGGAGGGAGAGATTCTTCCCTTGTATGTCCTGGATAGACTATATTGTCAGCAAGTAGCAACAATATCTCTTCTTTTAGAAAATTTATTCCCCTTATTTTGTGTGTTTTGCATTAGTTAGAATCTTCAGGAAAATAAAAAAAATGTCGAAGTACAGCACTGATTTAGGATAGCCTTCTCTCTTCCATCTTCTCGCCTGTCTCATCCTCCTTTTCCTCCCCTCCCTCACTTTACTGTGACTGCTTCTAATATTTTATCACTAAGTGTGATATTTCTGTTAGTCATTCAGGTTATAGGATATTCTTTCTGTTTCTAGTGACTAGGGATTTTAAGTAAAAGGAAAATCAAGAATGGACAACATCTATAATTGAGATAGTCATGCCTTTTTCCTTCTTTAATATTTTGATCTAGTGAATTACATGAATTAATTTTCCAATGTTGGAACCTTCTTATATTCTTCAGAAAATCCTACTTGGTCATGGTATATTACAGACTTTAATGTGTAAATGCTTTAGTATTTTGTATCATAGCGTTGGTTAGTGACGTTGGCCTGTAGTTGGGAACCTGTCCACGAATTTCTATGCTTTAGAACAGCATATGTAACATAAGAATTATCCCTTCCTGGATGTTTTGGCATAATATAATACCAAGGGAGAAAAGCAATGTATAGATCATTATGTATAATATAGTCTGATTTTGAATATATAAATATATATGTGAAAAAATCTGGATGACTATATCAAAGATTAATAATATTTCTAAGGAGCTATATTATGGTTTTTCTTTTCTTTTTTTCTTTTTCCTAACCTATAACTTTTTACTTGTCCATAGTGGATGTTAATTTTGAGGGGAAAATAGGGCATCAAATGATATATAAGTGCCGAAGCATATAAAAAGCATGTGACTGGAAACCATTAGGCTGGCAATATGCTTGCAGGCCCTCTAAACAACTCCAGCCATGCACCATTGGTTTGACTTCTCTGTACCAACCCTCCTCTTCCCAGGTAGCACATCCCTATTTCTAGAACTTGCTCTCCAAGTTCTAGAAATATCTGTACCCACCTCGAACTTTAGATCTGGCTTGTTCTAGTCTGTTTTATAGATCTTCTGACATTACTCTCTTTGTTGAACACTGTAACCAGTTTTTTTTTTCCTGATTTGGGGCATCCTTTGAGTGTGCAGTGTTTCCTGTCCCACTTGTCTCCCCACGGATCCACAACAGAGTCATACCCAGCATTTGCCTCTGGGTTGGGAGCTGACATTTGGGAGCTGCTCTGGTAAAGGAAACAGGGTTAATAAAGTGTTTTTGGGTTTCCTTTCCTTGGGCTTCTCTCAGGCTATGTTCCAGATACCTACTTTGTTTCATCTGGATGTAAGAAATAGGAAGATTCTACGTTGATCACTGACTGACATTTACTTTTATTTTTGAGTTGAAACCAAACAAACGAACAAATGAAGATTTTTTCCAAGTAAATTTATTGACTAGGGATGAAGTACTTACAGAGTTTCTATTTATGCTCTTTCTAAAGTTTTCTTTTACACTTTAGTTTTCACATCAGTTTTCACAGCCATTTAGATATAACCTAAGGCAGCAAATATCATCTGCTTCAATGAACATATTGCAGCTTGGGGAATCCTCCTCACAATTTCTAGTCCTCTCTTTATGGACTGCGGATACCACGTGACAAGTATTCACAAAATTGCCAAATAAGCAAACACACTACCACTTATGCCATCTCCTTGGTCAAAATGGTGTTCTCTAGCACCGCTCTCTCACAGGGCTGATGGAGGCACTGCCTAGGGGTGTGGGAAATAGGTCTTCCTTTCTCTGAAGCTATTTGTCATAATGAGTTTTAGTCTCTGTTTCCATCTCAGGTTAAGGGCCTTCCTCTGAAATCTAACAAACTGTTTTTGATCAGTGGTTGGGCTGTTGTAGTTTCTTATGATAGTTCCAGGCAAAGTCTTCCTACTCAAGGTCATTAGTCTCACCTAGATGAGGTTCTCAACCGAGCGACAAGATAGCCTAATGGTTCAGAACCTGGAGTCTGAAATAGATTGCCTGAGTTCACAATTATGTTTATTTGAATAAATTAATTCTTCACGCCCTTTTGTAGTCTGTAAAATTAGGAAAAATAATAGCATTATGTTGTTGTGAATAGTGAAAAAATGAATATAAAGCTCTTAGCAGATTGTTTAGCTTGTGTCAGTTTTTCAATAAATGCTATTACGTTTTTGAAGTGTGCCTGAGGCAATGTTCAGAAGCAGTGCTCCTGGCTCTGGTTCACTTTCCACTCATTACTTTCACTGCCCAAACACATTCTCTTTGCCCGTTGACTCATTCTACACATGTGCACAGTTTTACTCTGCATAGTAACTCCTGCTGCTAACAACTATGTGGATGACACAGACAGAACATCTTGTCCTAAAGTTCCTCAACCTCCTCATCAGCAGTGACCTTCTCGTCCTCTTGAGTCTTGTCACCCATGCTAAGGGCCACATTATCCCTTACATGGTTCATTGGTACTCACTCCCTAGTATAATCTGTGCCCTTCCTCCTAACTTTCTAATGAGCCCTCACTTCCACAGCACTTGGACCTCATCGGATTCTCTCAAATCCCTCATCCCTATTATTTTCCATCACTAAACTTCTTTCTTTCTTCTCCTGTCTCTTTATTTGATAGGTTTCATGACCTTTAATTATAGTCCATCTCTTTTTTCATTGCACCTACTTCTGAAAATGTCAGCTGTTGGATAAATCCAACCTCCAGCCCTCAGTGCTCAGAAAACCTTTATGGAAATAAAGAAAGATGAGGTAATTGGGCTGGACAAAATCTCTGCCTTAGAGAGGGATATTACAGATGATCTTGCTATAGGCTTTTCAGGGATATATGTATATATAACAACCCACGCACGTCCTAATTTCTTGCTGAAACCTAAGTAAAGAGGTTGATTTATGCTTGTCTATCTGTTTATTTATGCTCTGATTTATTTTTAAAATGTGGCTATGTAAAGTAAGCTACACAGAACTGACTTCATTTAGAAAGCTATGCATTTTTGTCTTCTTTAGAATTATTGTTTTTCTCGTTTGGCTCATTATAGTGGAGAACTAGTGCCCTAGAATTAGAGTAATATTAATACCAAAATATATGTTCTAGCAATCTTAAGGTTGCTGACTCAGAGCATTACTTAAAAATAAATTTGAATCTTGGAAAATTGCAAAGTTCAGTTTGTAATTTTCTAAACCTCTTGGGCTAAAATTCAAAATACACATTTCATAATATTAGTCTTCAAAAAACTTCAATAAAAGACTGCTATATGGTACTTACCAATTATTGGGGCAGGGAGAACTATATCAAGTTTTCCATAATTACATCTCAGGTCTTTATTCCAAAAGCCATTTTCGAAGTCAGAATATTTCTTATGGAAAAAAAGGAAACAAGAACATAAATAAATTCAGAGCAACAAATAATATTGTCTATTGTGTGCCAGTTCTCTCACTAAATTTTAAAAAGAACTAGATGTAGCTTTTTTTTTAATAAAGTAGATAAGGCTCAAGTTCTTTTTCTTTATATACAAAAGTATTTCTAAATTCCAGTCATGACTTTTTTAAAGGCACTCTTCTAACACTAGATAAATGGCTCACTCTGCACTGAGTTGTAGAATGAGGGCACGTCAGTGGGAGACCTGTGTTTGGCAGAACTCAAATCAATCCACCTGCCCTTGTTAAGAACATTTATTGTCCATAAAATTTATCTTTGGCACTTTCTTTTCTAAGTAAATCCATCACCCCTATTTACTTTAGAAATGAAAAGGCTGAAACCATATTCTTTGCCAGCTTCTCTTCTTTTATAAATATGGTTAATACTTTCCACTGAAAAGAATTGAATTTGAGATGG